TTTATTTCAGCTCGAATTGCTTGTCACAGGTGTATGAAGAGAGCTAATTTTGATGAAAGAAATCAACTAAACTTTGGTGGATTTGCTGATATGAGCGAATGGTTTGTTGAGAGAGATATCGAAGTAACTCGACAAGATGCAATTTTATAGAAGAATTGCAGTACAGAAGATGCAAGAAAAAAACATACTTCTGAAACGTCTGTCTGGTGGTTAGAAATATATCATCTTACCTACTTTAACTCTGTTCGGTTACCATAATAGATCCAATGCATTGTTTATTTTTAGGCATCACTAAATGGATTATGAAACTATGAATAGAAGAAGGCATTTTATCTTCACATGATTTGGCTTTAATGGAACAACAGGCAAAAAAAATGGAAGTTTCATTAGATTTTGGTAGAATTTCAAATAAGTTTGCTATGGAAAATGGTTTTTCTGATTTCATGACAGACTAATAGAAGATGTTTATATTAATATATGCAACTTCGATTACTTGAAATTTACTAAAAAAAAATGACTGAAGAATTTTGACCTATTTTGTTAGAGCATGTTCAATTTTGGTATGCTGAATTTTACAAAAGGTCAAGTTAAAAGAAGCACATCGATGTTTTTAAATATAGTGAAGCTTATTGAAAAGAAATATGATCCTGAAAAAATAACACCAAATTTACATTTATGTTTACATATATGTGAATGCGTAAATGACTATGGGCCAATATATTTATTTTGGTGCTTTAGTTATAAAAGAATGAATGGTTTATTAGATAAGTTAAATACTAGAAAATTTATTAATTATTATAATAAAATGCCGATAGCTCATAAAAGTTTTTATATGTTAATAGGTTTGTTCTATAATAGTAATAGAAAAATTGAAATTAAATTATTAAAAATAATTCTATCATATTCATTATTGGACGAACTTATAATACAAGCAAAAGGACATTTACATATATGTTTACAGTTTATTGAACAAAGAAAAATGATCAGCAGTCTTTCTATTAATAATGGAATTGACTGCCAAGAGTTTCTATCAATGTCTACAAACATTGAAGAAAGCTCAAGAACTGGAAATGAACCTTTTTCTGGTGCTCTTTTAGGGCCTAAGAATATTAGACAGACGCTCTCGAAAGAATTATTAGCTTTATTAACTGAATATTATAATAATGCATATAACTATAGTTTTAAGTCATTAAGCGATAGAGATATCAGTAAATCAAACTCTATACCAGTTTTGCCTAGAGTAACAGAATATGAAAGACTAAAAATTAGTGATGAATTTTTTGGTTCAATATCTGTAGCAAGACACAAAAGGTTGGCAAAAATAATAGCAAAATTTATATTAGACAATGGATCTATTGGTGTATATTCAGGCATTGTTCAATTCTATTTTGAACATGTGGTACACCTATTTAATGGCTCGAAAAAGCATATATTGGCATTTGTATGCTGGTTCAAGCCTGTTAATAATCATAAAATTAGATATCATTGTCAAGTAGATGGTATTTGTAATATTGAATTGTGGAATTAGAACTTTTATAATATAAGTAGGGATTGTATAATTCCTGTACACAATATCTTAGGCCGATTCATTTCTGGTACTATTAAAGTTAGGAAGAAAACTCTGATAGAATATATGTTAGTAATACCAGTTAATAGAAAATTTCATATATAATAATAAAATTTATTTCACTTTCATTATTAATAGTATTTTGCCAAAATGTTTAATAATTGTTTTTAAATATCGAACTGTATTATAAATAATTTTAAAGCACAGTAAATATCTTATAGCTATATCGGTAGTATTTTTAAAATAAAAATATGTGAACAATATCATTTTAATACTATAGTATTATAGAAAGCTATATAGCTATATCAGTTTACCTGAAATTATTCTTGTTGCTAACAAGTTGTATTTAAAATATTGATATTTTTAGAAGCATATCCATATTAATATCAGTTTCTGATATTCCCGCGATTTTACTTAAAATTTATATTTTCTATTGATAACCGATATTTTTATGATATTATCCGGTTATACTACTGCTGATATGTCTTCAAATTTTTTTGATAGTATTATCATTTTATTAAAATCTATATTAATATTTCTGATATTATACCTTTAGTTTTCTAAAATATCTGTAGTTTTAGGTTCAATTTTATTTTAATATCAGCGATCTGATATTCCCACGATTAAACTTAAAATTTATATTTCTTATCAGTTTTCCGATATTTATCTGATATTATTCTGGCTATGCTATTGCTGATATGTCTTTATATGACCTGTGATATTAGATACAGATTTATTTTGCAATCACATAATACTGTAATAAAGTACTATCTATAAACTTTATTTGATATATCATATGATAGAATTTGAATGTAAAACTTATAATTTAATTGAGTTACATCAGATACCTTGCACAGTATTAACAAAGTAGTATGAACAAGACCAAATAGGATACACATTAGTAAAGAACACCCTATTATATATAGTGTAGTGCCTCCAATTAGTATACTATTTCAGAAACCTTTAGTCAAATATTATTAAAAATAATCTTACTATAGGAAATTGTATTTTATAAATCACAACTTGTACAAGGGAAAAAGACTGAAGTCAGCCTTTTTAGTTGGACTTTTTTGTATTAATCCAAACAAACTTAAAAGAACAATAAGATATATATATATATATATATAATATATATTAAATACATATATATATGTTAATAAAATACATGTACTGATAAGTAAAATGCTATCAATATAAAATCTATTTTGTAATACCACTCTTCGAGACTCAAACTTTTATTCAATAAAACTCTAAATTATAAATTATCAATATTTAATTGTTTTTTTATTAGCTAGATCAAATTTTTGTTGCTTGTATTCTTTAATATTGTAACTTTTTTCTAAGCATAACTACAAGTCTTGGAAGACAAAGATATTTGCTAAATATTACTCTCTTCTGTTGAGGACTTGAGACACTTCGAAGGATGACTTCTTGGCTTATGATATTCAGGATTTGATATACTTAGAGAATTATGAATTTCTTTATTAAAATCATGAATTTCTTTTATATTCAATTTAGTGCTTTGATAGTATTTTATGATAAATTCTGTAAGAAGACTAGTAAGTTCTGATATAACATCTTCTTCCACAGCAACTTGAATGCTAGTCTTGGCTACTGACATTGTTGTTTCAAATTTGATCTTTTTATTGACAATTTTTCTAATATTTAATATATAACAACTGGCTATTTGCATTCAATTAATATATTGCAATGACTTAGTGGTATAGACTTTAGCACTTTAAGAAATGATAATATAACTAGTTTTAGTTAGCTTTGTCTTAAGCCAACATGAATAAATAAAGTCTATATAAAAAACAGCTTTACTGGATTGAAGAATTTGATACTGATGTTGATATGGCATTCCTTAATTAATAATATGCATACATGTACAAAATGATATTGAATCTCCAAGAATTACTACATAATATAGCTTTGCAGTTGAAGCTATTGCTGCAATATAATAAACTTCTCATATTTCTTAAATTTCATCTTCATCTATATCAGATAAAAGATTATGGAGCCTAATTTGCAATCTATTATATATATGTTCAATTATGCCACTAGGTTCATTATTAGATTCTTCAACTTGATTGAATGTAATTATCATTTCTTGATATAATAATAACTGCTTCATTTGAGCTTTTTGAAGAGATAATGAAATAAATGCTAAGTACTCTTTTAAAACAGAATTTATGTCTTTAAAGATAGTATCATAAATAGATAGAAAACTGACTAATAGATTTGATTTATAATAATTTCTAATTTGACTATATTGTGCTTTCTTATTAAGTTTATCTTCAATTACTTTTACTAATTTTTTTAATAAAGTGACCTGATCTAGATTCTTTTTAAAAACTCTATTTATACCTTCAACACATTGAGTTGATTCAACTCTTGTTATAAATACTTTCCTATAGAGTATCTTGTTCATGATTTACAACTTAAATACAGTTTTTTTTCAAAGTAAGATCGGCATTGTTCATATTTTTTAAGCATTTCATTATATCTTAATTTGAACTGACACTGACTATAACTATTATGCATATGATAAAAATCCTTAATGAAATTATTAATTATCTTATTATGTAACTTGGCTTTTTTCTTTATGTTCTCTATAATATGATATATATATAACAAATAACAGATCTTTAGATAAACTTGAATAGCAGCCATCATTGCTGGATCATTATTTGTAAAAAAAACAAGAGGACTAAGATAATTAGTTGCTTTTAGTGTATATTCTAATATTCAAATATAATTGGCTTGTGTTTTGTATTTAGTCAAAGCCTGAGTAAGAACCCTTGTCTTAAAATTTTTGTCAATACCAATGAAAAGACTAAGAGCCATTTCATATTGATTTGTTTTTGCTATATTGTCATATATGATAACATTATGGAATTTAGGCCAAAGTTTATTTTGTTGTTTGCTAGTTATTCAAAAAAGCCTTGTAAGTTTATTCAATGATTTTTTCAAATGTGGAATGACTATATAATTATTATCTTTATCACATAGCTTTATAAAATATAAGAACATCATAGAAGCATCAGACTCATTATAAATTCTAACACCCTAAAACTTTTAAATCACATTGTATAGGCTTTTCTTTTTAATATTATATTGAGAAAACTCTTTGGTTAGAAGATCATATTGTTGTCTAGCACTCAAGCAACTATTAGTAGTATAATGTTTAATTTTATCCAAAATCGTTTAAGGAAGATATGAGTATTTAGAAGCTAGCTCAATAGTTACTAGATTATATATATGATTATGCATATTATCAAACTTAGTAAAATGTATTATTGTGGTCTTTTTTTTAAAGTAGAAACTTACTTGCCATGAACAATTTATTTTGGTTAAAGTGTTATCACAGTGTATATTAATGTTTTCTACCTTTCTTGGATTATTATTTTCTGATTTTTAGCAACTATAAACATGATGTTGAACAATAGTTTTATTTACAGAATTAAGGTCTTTACGCATTTTAATAACAACAAAACTATTCTGTTTTGCATATGTATTAATAGCAATATTAACAGCATTCCAATTCCTGAAGGATTTATCAAATATTTCAATTATATAGTTATCAGTATTATTTTCATTTACAATACTTTTATTATTAGAAGACCTATTAATTTCAGTTGTTATATCTAAAAGTATAAGATCAGATAATTGGCTTTGATATGTATATTCATAATTCATAAGTTTCAACTTATCAATGTCAAAAGAAAAAAAGAAATATTTGGTTGTCAAATTTATCAAGTTTATTGTATTTGTTGTCAAATTTGTCAACTTTATTAAAATTTACAAACTAGTCTTTTAGCTTTATAGATATAATATAAGAATACTATTGGAAAAATGAACAATCAAAAAAAAGAAAAAAAACAATCAAATAACTTTAAATAATTTGGTCATGATATCAAAATTAAGTAAGTAAACAATTGTTTATTGCAAAATTTTAAAACCTTGACATCAAGTATTAGTTGATATGCAGAGATTATTTAAAACTCCTGCAACAAATAACTCTTCTTATATTGGACCTAATTCAGATCTATTCTTTAATAGATATTTGGTTTATATCAAAAAGGTTGTTTAAATTCCAATTTAGATAAAGTATTATAGTTTTATGACAAATACTTAGATTAAACTATAGAGTTTAAGTAATAATAATATTCTGATCTGTTAGGAATTAGCAAAAACAAAGTTTCTGCTTATTCATATATAGTCAGAGTATTATTAATTAATCCTTCTGTAATCTTAATATAGTGATTGAGAAATTAGTATTATATAGTATCTCTAGTCTAAAAATTATATGATCTTATTGTGAACTAAAAAAAAAAATTTTACTAAGAAAAACTATTTTGCTATTAGGTTATTACAAGTAGGTTAAATTTAGAAAGTTATAGTTATATCAAAATTTTACAATAAAAACTTTTTGTTAATACACAGAAGGCAGTTTAATAGACAAAATTTTAAGTTATGGTTAATTTTTTGAATTTTAGTTTCTTGAACTTTTTTCTAATCTTGGCTAGTGAAATTTTTTAGACTAGTAATTTTGGAGTTGTTAGTTATTACCTTAATTGAGTTTTAGACTATAAAAAACAAATACATAACCTATTCTGGTATACTTTATAAATGAGTCATATATAGTATTTTTTTTTGAAGTACTAGTATTATATACTAGCAATTTTTATTAGACATATATAAATTATATGACACTAATAATGATCACTACCAATAATACATAGCAAATTTCTACAAAATAATTAAAAAATTTTAGAACTATTTATTAATTTATTTTATTTTTTAATTATTATTTTATTAATATAATTTTTTATTTTAATTTTATTAAATAATAATTACATAAAAATTATATAATTAAAAAAACTATACTATAAATTAAAATATTGAATGCAATTATTTTATTAGCATTTCTGACTTAAGATTCTGGTCTCTATTAACTTTTTCTAGCAAAGCATAAGATATAAAAAAAAAAGCAAGAATTAGTAACAAAAAAAAAACTGAAAAAATAAAAAAAAATAAACTAGTACTTATCTTTGTATCAGTTTTATATTCAAAATTCTGATCCTAGCCTTTATTAACTTTTTTTAGTAAAGTACAAAATCTAAAAAAAAGAAAGCAAGAATTAGTAATAAGAAAAAAAATTGAAAAAACAAAAAAAAGTAAAATAATACTTATCTTTGTATCAGTTTCAAATTCAAGATCTTGATCTCAGCTTCTATTAACTCTTTTCAGCAAAGTACAAGATCTAAAAAAAAAAAAAAAAAAATCAAAAATTAGTAACAAGAAAAAAACCTAAAAAAATAGAAAAAAAGTAAACTAGTACTTATCTTTATACTAGTTCTAGGTTCAAAATTCTGATTCTAGTCTCTATTAATTCTTTTTAGCAAAACATAAGATCTAAAGAAAAAGAAACCAAAAATTAGTAACAATAAAAAAAAAAGAAAAACAAAAAAAAAGAAAAATAGTATTTATTTTTGTCAGTTTCTGATTTAAGATTCTAATTCCAGTTCTTATTAATTATTTTTAACAAGGCACAAGACTTAAAAAAAAAGAAACCAAACATTAGTAACAATAAAAAAAAAAGAAAAACAAAAAAAAAAGAAAAATAGTATTTATTTTTGTCAGTTTCTGATTTAAGATTCTAATTCCAGTTCTTATTAATCATTTTTAACAAGGCACAAGACTTAAAAAAAAAGAAACCAAAAATTAGTAATACAAAAAAAATTAAAAAAACAAAAAAAAAAGAGAAATAGTACTTATTTTTATCAGTTTTTAGTTCAAGATTACAATCTTAATTTCTATTAATTCTTTTTAGCAAAGTACAATAACTAAAGAAAAAAAACAAGAATTAGTAATAACAAAAAAAAACAAAAAAAAATGAAATAGTACTTATTCTGGTTTAAGATCCTAATTTTGGCCTCTATTAATTTTTTTCAGTAAAGTACAAAACCTAAAGAAAAAGAAACAAGAATTAGTAATAACAAAAAAAAATAAAAAACTAAAAAAAAACAAGAATTAGTAATAATAAAAAAAATAAAAAACAAAATAAAAACAAAAAAAAAGAAAATATTACTTATCTTGGTTTAAGATCTGATTCTAGTTTTCATTAATCCTTTTTGATAAAGCATAAGATCTAAAAAAAAAGAAATAAGAATTAGTAATAAAAAACAACATAAAACAAAAAAAAAACAAAAAACAAAAAAACAAAAAAAAAGAAATAGTATTTATTCTAGTTCAAAATCATAATCCTATTCTTCTTACCAAAGCACAAAATCTAAAAAAAAAACAAGGATTAATAATAACAAAAAAAATATTAGTAATTTTTAAAAAAAAAAAAAATTAAAAAAAAGAATGAAAAAAAAAAAAAAAAAAAAAAAAAAAAAAAAAAAAAAAAAAAAAAAAAAAAAAAAAAAAAAAAGAATAAAAAAAAAAAAAAAAAAAAAAAAAAAACAAAAAAAAGTAAACTAGTACTTATTTTTGTATTAGTTTCAGATTTAAGATCCTAATTCTAATCTCTTTAATACTTTTTAGCAAAGCATAAGACTTAAAGAAAAAGAAACTAAAAATTAGTAACAATACAAAAAAAATGAAAATTAAAAAAAAGTTAACTAGTACTTATTTTTGTTCTAGTTTCAGGTTCAAAATTCCAATCTTAGCCTTTTCAATAAAGTATAATATTACAAAAAAAAATATTAGTAATTTTTAAAAAAAAAGAAAATTAAAAAAAAATTAAACTGGCTGATGAAGATAAAAAAAGAAAAAAAATAATAAATAAAAAATTTGAAGATCAAAAGAAAAAAAAAATAATAAATAAAAAATTCAAAAAAATATTAAAATTAAAAAAAAAAAATTAAAATTAAAAAAAAATATATTCAAAAAACTAATTGTTGCAATATAGATCATAGATGTGAAATATTTTAAACTCTTTTGAATAACATAATAATTTTATAATATATTTTAAAATATTTTAAAATACTTTACATTTAGCAAAAATTTTAAAATTTATTTTACAATATTTTAAAATTATTATATTATGCAAAATCTTTTGAAATATTTTGTATTTATAAATTTGGTAATATATAAAGAAATGTTTTTTTTTTTTTTAAAAGCCATACTTGTGGTGATACTTTATTGACTTTATATCAGGTTAGCTATTACAACTATTTTTACAGAAATGAGAGT